AACAGGAGTCAAACTGTCTTCATCCTGTCTAGATGGGGACTAAGATGACATCAATACCACTTTTCTTCAAATGAATATTTTGGACTCAGAAGGAAGCAACTTGTAAGCAGGAAGAATAAATCTATGTTGAAATAAGGGATATAAAAACTCTCCCTGTCCAGTACTGTCAAAAGAAATTCAAGGGGATCCAGGGAAGAAAGAAAATGTTGAATATCTATTATTCAATAGTTTTGAATATTAAAAGCAAAATGAAAAGCATTTAAAATGTTAGAAATGATCTTTTGGTTATATTTCCTCTGAATTTTTTTTGCTTGTATGTACTTTTCCTGATATGAGCATAATGTTAAAGAACAAGCTGATGTTGTTTGTAGTATAATTCAATTGAAGTTACAATAATCTGAGATACAAATAAAGTGGTAGCTTGTGAGATCATCTCTTAGCTGCCTATATAAGCAGTTTACAAAATACTTTTTTTTTAAAGACTTATTTATGCATACAGAACAGGGTACAGGCCAGAGGTGCAGGGGCGGTGAGAGGATCCACCAGAGACAGAGTGGGGAACAGAACAGACAGATTGACAAAGTACATTGCTGAGGGGAGCAACCAGCTAGATAGAAGTCTGCTGCGCCATGTGGGTCACCTCCATGGTCAGGGTTCAGACTCATGCTGAAAGGGCTTCCCAGTGCTATTCTTTATAACCTGTTGTGTCAACCAGAGAGTGCCCAGATTGTAATATAGTTGGAATTTATCAGATACACCTTGGTAGCTTTAATGGGCATGTGGTCAGAATGCCTCATGGGAAAGGAAATGCCCCTTTACTTTTTTTTTTTTTTTTAAGATTTATTTATGCAGATAGAACTGGGGTACAGGCAGAGAGAGGTGCAGGAGCCCGGAGAAGATTCACCACACAGAGCAAAGAGCATAACAGGCAGTTCTATGAAGTACACTGCTGAGGGGAGCAGCGGGCAGACAAGAGAGGTCTTCCACTCCAAGTGGGTCATCTCCAGGTGCAGGATCAAACTTGCACTGAAGCAGTTGCGACTTTCTTTCACAGTGCTGGGCTTTAAGCCATTTTGCCACCAGGGCCACCAGGGAGGGCCCCCTTTACTTCTTATTCTGGGTCCCTCCACAAAGGTGTGTAGACTCTATGCTGGATAAAGTCAGGTATCTCAGTTCACTAAAAAACTGGATTCCTATCTTCTGGCAGGATTCTAAATTACCTCAGAGGTTGAAATGAAGAGGGGTGTCCTTTATGCATTTCTTTACAAAATGATTCATTAAAAGTTAGACAGGCCTTCCCTGGTGGTGCAGCGGTTGAAGCACAGCACTAAAAATCTAAAGCCACTTCTGCATGAGTTTGATCCCCGCCTGCCCAGGAGGAGATCCACATGGCGAGGCAGACCTCTCCTGGCCGACCTGCTGCTCCCCTCAGCAGTGTACTTCCTTGATATGCCTGTTCTGCTCCCCTCTCTGTCTCTGGTGAATCCTCTCACCCTCCACATCACTGGCCTGTACCCCAGTTCCATATGAATAAATTAAATCTCTAAAAAAATTTTTTGAGACAAATTTAATATTAAAAAAAAACAACAACAACAATCATTAGCTGGAAATTCATTTGAGGAAAAGGGGTTTCTGAATTTGGTGATATGACGGTATCACCCAATTTGAGAAGTCTTACATTCTGCCATTTAAAACAATATTGATTTTTCTGGCAGGTCCCAAATCTCTTTTCCTGGTTTTTCCAAACTTATACTCACACTCTTACACTCAAAAATAAAAAGAATGATTTAAGTTAACCAGTTGCTACAAAAGAAAGTTCTCCATAACTAAAGTAATAGTATCAGCCATCTCTTTTTCTTTCAATCTCCCCCATGGAAGGAGTGCTCTAGCTCAAGTAGCCTCCAGGCCAAATGAGATAGTGTGGGCAGCCAAAGGCAGCTGGAGGGAAGATTGACCCCTCTTCTTCAGGTCATAATACCTTTATGATGACTGAAACTCTGAAACTCTTATACAGTAACTCATGGTTTCCAGAAGTAAAAAAAAAAAAAAAAAAAAAAAAAAACAAACATAATCTGCGAGACTTTTTGCATTGGCTAGGGAGTTGACACCATGTGAACCTGCTGCATTTTGTTGGTTGGAATAGGAAGTTCCATCCAGAAGAAATGTGGGAGAATATTCGTAAAGAAGTATGGTTTATGAAGCCAACCTTAGACACTTGCTACCACCATTATCTGCATAAAGGAAAAAGATCAGATATTTGTCTTGGCAAGGTTTCTTGGGTTTCCTTCACACTTTGAGAGAGAATACTACACTCATGTTTCTTGATTTATGTCAAGAAGAGAACTTAATAACATGGGAGTTCTTGAGATACATCTTTATATACAACTTTTTCAAATACAGAGAATTTGGGTTTGTTTTGTTGTTGTTGTTTGTATGTTTATTTGCCATGTTTGCCAACAAACCTTCACCATCAGGGCTTCACATTCTTAGAAACCTTCACCATCAGGGATTCACATTCACATTTTTACTACTCTTAGAGAATGCTAAGGTTTATAATTACCTAAGATACTTCCTAAAATATTTTGTATGTGCTTGCATTTAAACTGTTAGGAAAGGAACTCCCAGTTTTCCTCAGACTGTTTTCCAAGGTGAATTTAATTTTCCAAGGTGAATTTAAATAAGCAACAGCATAAGAATGCTTGGAACTGAGCTTCCTAGATTTTTACCTCTTTGAAGTTCTTGTAAAGTATCTCAGAAATTGAGTGATGGTAGAGTGTGAAGTCTGTTCCCAAAGTCAAACAAAAAGTAACCACTAGCTGATGCCTGAGGTTACTTCATCTGTCTCTGCTTCAGAAGAGAGAAGGGGAGGGGGCTAGATGGCCCTGTCTCCCAGAATTATTTAGCAAACGAATTGCCTGTCAACTGTGGTTAAAATGCATTGAAATCAATTTTAGTCCTTACTTTCTTACTTGTATCTGGTGAGTAGTTAACTTAACAGAACTTTTTTTCCCCCTGAGCACTTTACTTTTTCTTCTTTCTCTTTTCCCTAATTATCTTAAATTTGTGGAGATTTCAGGCAAATATGGGCCAACCAGGCATGCAGTAAAATACCTACTGTGATTCCCAACTTTGCAGTAAAATACCTACTGTGATTCCCAACTTTGCAGTAAAATACCTACTGTGATTCCCAACTTGAGAAAGTGAAGCATTACCAGGAACTGTTAAGGGGCATCTTGGGGAAGAACTCAGGCTGGAAGCAAAACCTGTTTGAGGTGAGAAGAATGTGGGGGGAAATGTGGAATATTCAAGTCAAATATATTGGATTTGATGGAAAATATAACCCTGAAGTGAATTTAGATAATCCCAAATCATTAAGATAGCCTGTTTGTTATGCCTGAAAAAAAATTACATTTTGTCAGTAAAATTTTGTCCTGAAATTCCTTCTAAAATTACAGGCTCCCCATTTCTTAAGAGAATCTGCACATTTCACCTCAGATTACCCCCTTTTCAAGAACAATGTTTACAACTATCCTTTGTCCCCTTCCTTTTTTTTTTTTTTTATAGCATTTATTAAGCTAGAGAATTAAGTTTGTTGCCACTGGAATGCTAGTTCTCCCTTACCCAACTGTATACCCTAGCACAAAGGGAAAGAGTGAACAAATATTCTAAGAATTTGTAATGCTAAACTTCTACAACACACACCAGAGGGCCCCATGACTTCTTACCTGCAAAATAAGAATAGGTACCTAAGCTCAGTTTTAATCAGGCTTCAACTGTAAAAATTGACATTGAGGCCTCCCTGGTGGTGCAGGGGTCGCATATAGCCAGTCAGTGAAGCATGGGGTTCTATTCCCTAGCCAGGGAGGTGACCCACATGGCAGAGCAGACCTCTCCTGACCCACCCGCTGCTCCCCTCAGCAGTATACTTTGGTCAATCCTCCTGTTCTGTCCCCCATTCTCCCTCTGGTGAGTCCTCTTACGCCAGCACCTCTGGTCTGTATCCCAGTTCTTGTGTACATAAATAAATCTTAAAAAAAAAAAAAGTCACTGAAGTTAACACCATACAGAAAGTCATGCCTCCACTCTCAGTCTGCAGTATGTGATGAAAAATGCCACACACAGCATTAGTGCTAAAGCACACAGCAGCAACTAAGCCCTATGTGAAAACCCTTTAACTCACTTTCCCTTAGGGGCAGAATAGTGATACCCTAAGGGATGTAGCTTTAATTGCATTTGTAAAGCACACTATATAATACAAACTACCCCTGGATTACCCACCCCCATCCCTCTCACCCCAAAAACTTAGTAACAAACTAGGGTGTCAGAAAATGTAATTTGCCATATATGCTATTAACCTGTAATATCAAAAAATCCTACTTCAATGATAGATGCTAAGGTCCATTAAAAGTAGGTTACAGTGCATGTTTCCTGTGATTCCTTCAATTTATTTTTTTAGTCCAACATCCCTACTCCCCAACCTGTAAACTGTGAAAATTAAAGGCAAGTTCAGTACTGAAGAGGGTAGACTCTTGGTGAAACACAGGTATATATACTTTTTTAATCCAAAGTCTCATTAGCAAGGTGTCAAGGTACCAATGCAAAACCCAGTAAGTCCAGTATTAGTATCACAACCAAACCCATTAGCCCAATATAAAAATTGATGGTATTGTCTAAGATTTACCATTACTTATACTTGAAATGTAGGTTTCACTCCACAAAGGTTTTTCCCTCACACAATTTCCTCAATCTTGGATTCGCTAATGTGAAATTTTAGGGCTTCTCCTTGAAATAATTTTATCTATTATAAGAGTGAAAAAAGACAGTAACAGTACATTAAATGTCAACTATTGAACTATTTCTATTTCTAACATATTAATACTTCACATTACTCTCAAAAAGTGGTCTGTGGCCAAAGCACTAGGCGAATGACAAACTAGAACTAGGATTCCAGATTTTATTGTTTTTTTTTTTTTTTTAAGATCAAAAAAACACACCCGGGACAAAATTTCTTTGATCAATATTTTTTTTCAAAAAATGGAACAAATTCTTCTGGTACACAATCTAAACCGGTAAACTTAAACGCAGAAATAGGCTTTTGACAATGCAACTTTGGTAAACAAGTATCTGCACAAATCTTAACACATAAGCTCATTTTCCTATCAAATGTTCAAGTGGCAGACAAAATAAATTACCATAAATTATATGTCGAGGCAACTTAAAAACACACAAAAAATGAGGCTGAGGATTTCCTTAGCTCCTCCGGAAGGCGGGTAACACTGTGCTTCTGGCCTGCAGGCTGGGTACGCTGGGGACCTGTCAAACGTCAGGGTAGTTGCAGTAATATACCGCAGAGCTGGCATCCGACACCACCGAGGAAAGGGCCCCGTGGCTGTCTGGGAGATTCACACTAGAGTCGTGTCCCTGGTAGGGGAGACCCATCTCGGGCTTGCACACAAAGTGCAGATACTGTTCAAATTCCGTGCGGTCTACCTCCCCGAGAAGCTCCGCTGGCTGGTTCGTTTCCGCGCCGTCGCGGCAGGGCAGAGCCTCAGGAGGCGGCGACGGCTGTCCCGGACCGGGTGGGTGGTGCTGCGGCTGCATCTGGAAGCCGCGCCCGCCGCCCGCCCCCGGCGAGCCCATAGCGCCGTAGTACATGTGCAGGGCGCTGGGGGGCGCCAGAAGGCCCGGCATTGCTGGGCCAGCAGATTCCGGGCCCAGCCGCGAGTGCAGGGGGCCGGCGGGCGGCTCTGGGGGCCCTGCGTAGTCCGAAGCCTGAGCGTAGCTGTAGTGGCTAGCGGCCGAACAGTCTCCGGGCAGCGGCGCGGCAAAGAAAGCGGGATCTGGCTCCATGCCGTCCAGTGGGGATGTGTCGGGAGTGGGCAGCGGATAGCTGTCAATCGGGGGTGCGCCCAGTCCCTGGCAGTCACGGTAGTGGCCGCCCATGTGTGGGGGCATTAGCGGCGGTCCCGCGGGGTAGCCCTGTTCTGGGAAGGGCAGGCCCAGGCCGTCCATGGCCACGCGACCGCCCTCCGGACCAAGCGCAGCCGCCTGCGGTTCCGCGAGACCATGCAGGAAGCCGCCCTCCACCCGCTTGAGCCGCTTCACCTGCTTTCGCCTCCGGGGTCGGTACTTGTAGTTGGGGTGGTCCTGCATGTGCTGAACGCGCAACCGCTCCGCCTCCTCCACGAAGGGCCGCTTCTCCGCCAGGGTCAGCGCTTTCCATGACTTGCCTGCACGGGCGTGGGAAATGGAGAAGGACACCGGCCTTACTCTGAGAACTCCTGCTTCCCAGCCCCCACCGTTCCCACTTCTCCCCTGCCAAACTTGAATTGTGCCACAACTAGAGGGCAAGGGAGGTGTCAAGTGAAAGAGTTAAAGTTTGGGACACTCCGTACGCAGGAGTCCCAGCACACGGAGAAAATGGGATATCTAGGGTCCTCTCTTCTAGCATCACTCCTTTCGTCTAGCTTCCTAGGAGCGGCTCCCGAGCTCACCCACTCCCGGAACTTCTAGTAACTTAAGACGGCCCTTATCCCAGGCAGAATAGGGAAACCGACACCACCAAACCAACTCAGCTCCAGGAATACCCTTGCCGCCTCCCTGACCATTGGTAGCCGCTTCCCGGTCTTCGGGTATTCCGGGTTCTGAGGACTGAAGCCAAAAACCTATTTGGAGCGTTTGGGAAGGGGGACGCGGGCCCCACGGATGGGCTTGCGGCACATCTCTGTCCTGAAGGGCAAAGCCCACGATTTCGGAGGTGTAAGAACTGGCTCTACAATTCTTACTAGCGGGCTCCCAGTTTAGACTCACCTAGCATCTTGCTCAATTCAGCGTTGTGCAGGTCTGGGTTCTGCTGCGCCAGGCGCTTGCGCTCGTCCTTGGCCCACACCATGAAAGCGTTCATCGGCCGCCGGATGCGAGATTCGCCTTTGGTTCTACCCGCGGCCCCGGCTGGCGCCCCGCTACTCGCGGCTGCCTCGCCCTTCACCTTCATGTCCTGGAGGGGGCTCAGCGATTCGGCCCAGGGACAAGGGCCCAGCCCGGCCATCACCGCGGGCAGCGCGCTCCGGGTCTGGCTCTGATCGTCACTGGCATACCCCGCATCCGGGCTGCTCATGGCGCTCCAGCCCTGCCTGGAGCCCCACAACCCTCCGCCGGACACGCCGCCTCCCCCGACGTGGGGGGGAGGGGGTGGGGAGCGAAGGAGGGAGAAGACCCGCGCGTAGAACTAGATTCCGGGGTCCGAACCCGACTGCCGGGTTCTGGCCAGTTCCAGCCCACCGCACAACCAGAGTCTCGGACGACCAGTGACACTGCGGACGCCCCCCTAGGCTGCCCGGCCTTTTCTACACAGATGTGACCAATGAAGCTGTGAGGGCGGGTCGGGCTAGCGTCGTTAGGCCCACGCCCAGGCGGCCGCGGCTGTTCCAAGTCCCTGATCTACCCCCAGCCCGCCCTTTCTCCTCCCCCGGCCCACGCCCAGAGCTACACCTGCCCCGGGGAAAACTGGCTGAAGCCGGGCCTTGGCGCCACGTCCTCTTCGACCCCGGAAAGGGTACTACAGAAAAACCTTCTGGGGTGTTGGTTGTAACGCAAAAGAGAACTTGACAACTTAGATCACATCACCCAGTATACCCTCTCTACATGAGCGAAAGGTACTTCAGTGGTGGGTGATCTGGCTTTCTCTCAAGGAACCCCATGTGTGGGTGCCTTCTTCAAATGTGTATGGAATATAGAAAATGCTATTGATAAAAAGCAAAAATACGTTCTTTTGGCAAGGTCATTACCTACTGCTTGTTATATTCAAATTGCTATGCCCGAGTTAAATTCTAATTTCTAAAACAAGATTAAGTTACGGAGTGACATTCGGAGGCCAATATCCTGACACCCTGATGGATTCAAAGCTTTTATTCACAACAGTGAACCAACCCTTGAAAACTGGAATATGAAATGCATATTCAGCGTAACAAAAAAAACGCACGTGTTCGCCAAAAGAGGCAAGACTTTACTCCTCCCCCCCCAAAAAAAAGTAAATGCAGCACCAAAATTTACACAAGCACCCAAGAGCAATAATTTTTTGAGCAGCAACGTAACTAACTCTTTGGGTAGTTTAAGGCGATTATCCTGGGACATAAATCAGGGATTCCTATGTTTTATTTTACTCCACAGTAAAAACATGGATAACTATTAAACCGTTCAAATCTCAAAAACTGTTCAGTAGAAGTTTTAAACAAGCCTTTATGTTTCATTTCTATTTCATGCCAAGTACTAGTCTAAAAACCATCCAAACATTAGTAGTTTATTCTTAAGCAACCCTATGAGGTCGACAGTATTTTGTTTTTTGGGAGAAGAATGAGAGAGGCTTAGTAAATAGCCCAGAATCACAGCATTGGGGAGTGGAATTCATCTCCAGAAATCTACCTTCAGATTTACTTACTAAGAACTATTAATCACTAAGCCAGGCTGTTGTGTTTGTGTATATGTGGAGTTTCCTAAGGCAACCAATTAGATAACTTTGCTAAGAAATCAATACATCAATCTCCAGAACACATTTTCTTTGTTCACTTTGAAGGAGTGCTGAAAAACCAGGACTGACATCTGAGAGGTAAAAGCAGCCGATTTTTGTGTGATGTTACAGTGACAAGTAGTTTCAGTCTGCTTATTAGTGTCATCCATAAAAACAAAGGAACACAGTCTTTGAAAATCGCTGGCCGCCTTTTTCTCTGCTATTGCTGTTTCTCCAGAGAATTCCTACACTTGCTTTAAGTCAATTTTAACTTTGCCAGGATCTGTGATGTCTGTCTGTCCCTACCTTTCAGAAACCAATCTTCATAGAATGAACAAACTAAGAAAGTTCTAGTTCTTGCATCTCTGAGGTTCAAACAAGAAAAAAAAAACTGCTTGAGGAAATTACAGAAAGGTGCTGTTTTTAATTGATAGTTTTAAAACAGTTGATCTTAAATTTTTTTAAAACTTGATTTTTTTTTCCCTAGGGAAAAATTGGGCTTGAAAACTAATTGCATTACAAATAGTTATATCAATAAAGAAACCACAGGAGTAAAGAAAACAAGTTAATATCGCAGCGTGGGATTCAGATCAGAGCCTTGCTCTTTTCTTGACCATCTTCTCTTAACTTTTCTGAAATGTAGCAGAATTCACTTTATCAGTCTATCAGTCTGACTAATTAAGGGGAAAAAACTAAAACAAGGCTATGAGAAATTTGATTCATATGAGCTCCCAAAATGTATACCCGTGGATTTACCCTTGTACACTTTCATCATCATGCTCTCTCCCTCGCCTACCCAGGTTAGGAAACTGTGGGGAAGAAACTTCAGGGCTCTCCATCATTGTCACTTGTTTCGAGAAACTTACTGATTTTTGTCGAGGAAAAATAACTGAGAAATCAGGTGAGAAAACAACAGCATCCAGAGGATGGAGTTGAAGTTTCTGCTTTAACGCTCCTCCCCCTGCTTGGTAGAACACTATCCCAGAGTTACAAAGTAACCGTTTATTTCTGCTCACCAGGAAGGAATTATGGTGCCTTTCCAAGACTAGTCACTTTTACATACCTTTACTTAGATCTAGTTCCTTCTGATCGTTTCTAGTCATATAATGTGGGGGAAAGGTGTTGGGGATCTGTGGCGCCACAGACCTGTCGTGCGTGTGTGTGTGTGTGTGTGTGTGTATGCGCGCGCGTGTGTCTCTACACTCTTCTATTTTGGTCTTTACTAAACGCGGTCTTGGAAGCTGAGCTTGGGACGTTATCAGAGCCTGCCACAAATGCCACATGAAAAGCAGCAAACATCCGGAGTGGCTTCCTGCAAGCCTTGCTTTTCTCAACACAAGATTTACGTGGGGAGGAGGAGGGAGACAAACAAGTTTCGTGAGTAAGAGCCTTGTATACCCGCTCGTACATTACACACAATCCACGATCTCTGGGTTCCTGGCTGCTAATTGCACTCACGTCCCGGGACCAGAACTGAGGCTCAAATCACTGGGTGAGGAAGCGACTAGCAATAGCTGGAAGTTGTGCCCGTTAACCTTTTGGGGCCGTTGGTCGGTGGGCGCAGAAGTGAACACGGGTAGGTGACAAACCGTGGCCCTGGAACACTCAGAGCCCAGCGTTTCCTGGGACCCTCAGTGACCAAGCAGAGACTGGGTGATTTCCGGCAGGCTTTGTATTTTCCATGCTCGGGAAGCGGGAGTCAGCTGCGAGAGACTCAAGTGGATAGGGAAAGCGGTGGGCACCCAGACAGATCCGGGTTGGCTCGGGAGGGCAAGTCCTCGGGGGGCGGGGAGGAGTGTGAGCACCGCAAACCCAAAGAAAGCTCCGGGGCGGCCCGCCGACGGACAGACAATGGTATCCCTGGAACAAAGAACAACAGTGGGACCTTAGCATTTCTATATAAATCGCGAGCTAGCGGCGGCCTCCGACACGCAGCGACCAGGCGAGCAGCCGGGAGGGCGGCGGAGGCTCCGCATCTCCCAGGTAGGGCAGTGCAGGCCCACGCAGCCAGTTGGCACCGAGCGCCCGGGCGCCGACTGGGCGGCTGTGCCGCGCCTCGTGATACCTTCCGTGTCTCCTCCCTGTCCCCGGGCCAGTCCGTGGGTCCGGGATGCGAGGTCGAAGGTCATGGGCGGGGTGGGAAAGGTAGGGAGGAAGGAGTGACCGGAAGGTAGCGGTCGCCTTCTTGGCGGTAGCTTCCCGGGCTACACCCCCACACCCACCGCGGGCCAAGGACGCCCCCATCAAGTCCGAACCTCTCGGCACCCAGCTCCAGACCCTGCTCTAGGGTGCGCCGGCCTCTCCTGACGGGACCGAAAAAGGGCAGCTTTGGCGGAAGTTTTGGCGATTTTCATTATGCCTGAGGATGAGAGGAGTGATTTCATAGTTCGCGCCTTCTTCCACTCTCTCTGCACTCCTCCATGCACCCCCTTTGGAGGCCGCCGGAGCCCCACCCTGACAGCGGCGACTCCAGGGCCGTAACTGTTCCCGCTTGGCCCCGCCTGGGATTTGCACAGGCAAAGCAGGAAATGCGCGGTTCCCGGTCCATTTCCCTGCTCAGAAACTCGTCCGCGGGGGTGGTCCTTAGATACCCGCAGCCTTAGCTGTGGTCCCCGGGTTGAAGTAATGGCTCCCTCCCTTTTTTGCCTGGCATCTGAAGTTGAGACTTCGTGGGGTGTGGCGGCCTGGAGAGGGTAGGTAGGCAGCTCAGCTCCTCCAGCCCTGGACAGATAACACAGACACACGCAGTCTTGCTCATCTCCTTTATAGCTGCCTCCCATGTCATAGGAATTTGGATAGCATTGTGGCTACTATGCAATGACTTTTGCTGACCTCTGCTCCCACCTTCCACCACACCCTGGAAAAGGCCAGGGCTTTCCTTGTAGAGTTGTGTCCTTAACCAGACAGTATTATCAATGGCATGTCCGCTGTGAGCAGAACACTTGCACTCCCACCCAAAGGGGAGCAGACACGGCCTCTGCCTCTGAGGAATGTACAGGGCAGCACCATTAGTCTTCCTTCAGTTGGATGTTCAAGGCCTTGTTCTACTTTAGTAATTTGTTTCTGGCATGTAAAGGTGATACTGACATCAGTGGGCCAAGTGCTTTGAGAGATTTTTTTCCTAGTAAGGCTAAAAACTTTAGCTTGCCAAGTTTCCCCAGCAGGGCTTGATTTTGCCAAGTGGTTGGTTAGGGCAAGGTGTGCATTCTGTGATCATGGAAGTGATCAAAGTAAAATAAGGTCACAGAGCAGGCCATTCCTTACAGCACTCATTATCCCTCTTCTGTGCAACTTCAGTCACAGTAGTTCAGATTTTGGAACAGCACCTCAACTGGCTTCCAAAGTTTTTAAACTGGAAAAAAAAAATATTCGGGTGCTTGCAGGATTCCTTTGCAATCAATCTTCACTTGGCCGATTTCTGGTAAAATTTCTTCTCTGTCCATTTCTTGGACCGACTGAGTGACTTTCTCATTAATCTTTAATAGCAGCACAGATACTTGGTTCAGTTTATTTTTATATCCCTAAAGCACGCAGAGTCCATTGAATTGAGTCAATTCAATACCAATGGACTACGGTAATGTTTGTCCTTCTCGACTCAGTCTTTGGGTGATTTCTTTCAAGGCAAGAACCAAAAATTATCTAAGAATTGTCTCTATGAACCTGGCAAGTTTGTACATTTATTCTCTCAGTCACATTGTGTAAACCATGTGTTCATCTGACTTTAAGTACTGTTCTCTCCCACCCTCTCCTTCACCAGGAGTTCACCCAGTCTCCAGTTATTAAGCAG